TTGGTCCCTGTGGCCAGTCTGGGACCACCTTGGGCTTGAGGTGGTTCACACCAGGCATTTGCCAGAGATGCAGGGGCACTGAACTTCAGGACACTTTCCCTGTGTTGTCCCTTGGAAGCTTTTGTTGGTGGGCAGGGCCTGCAGTTAGGCCCAATATCTGCCCCCAGCCCACTGCTGGGGCCACACTTGAACAGGTTTGTGTGATTATCTCCCCCTTTACCCAGGCCAAGAATCACTTTGGGATGGTGCTGGCCTCTGTGGGGGCTGCTTGCACACTGCCATGCTTGTGGTGCTGCTTTAGATGGACTTCTGCCAGGGGTAGGTTGGAGTTGTGGTCCGCAGAAAAGCATGCAGAGGCATTGGTGGGGTGGGGTTGCTGTTAACAAGGTAGATGGAGAGTGTTCCCTGGCTGGACTGGTTCCTGCAGGTGTCTGTGTACCTAGGCTAGGGGATGGGGAGGGAAATGGCTATGCCAGCTTTTTGTTCATGGAGAAGTCTCTTAAAGGTCTCTGCCCCTCCAGCACAAGTTCTGAGTTTAATAAGTAAATCTCCTTCCCTTATATCCCTATTTTTCAAACTGTGGCTTCTCTGTTGTATCTCAGCAGGTCTGTTTGTTATGCTGTTTCTTTCAGGGTGGGGACTCAGTTTGCTGTCACCTCCTGACTTTCCTTGGGCAGAGCCTGCTGAGTTTTACAGTTCTAGGTGTCAAGCCCCACTGATTATAAGAACTTGTTACGTTATGCCCCTCTATTTTTCAGAGCCAAATGATATGATGATTTGTCCTTCCAGTGTGGGTCCCCCAGGCGTGGGGCGCCTGGTGTGGGGTCTGCTCCTCTCCCTTCTCCATGCCTGTGTGTCCCTCCCTCCTGTAGACAGTATCATAGGTCAGTTTGTTTCCCAACCTCATCTTTGTCCTTCCTACCTTTTTCTGATGCGGCCTCTTCTCTACTTTTAGCTGTGGAGGGTCTGTTGTTCTGCCAGTCTTTGGGTTGTTTTCTGGGTTCTTTACACTGATGTGGGTGTTATTTAGGAGTGTCCATGGGATGAGGTGAGCTTAGGACCCTCCTATTCTGCCATCTTCCCTGAAAGTCCTCGACCTGTTTCTAGTTTTAGTGACTACAGATAATCTGTAAATATCCTTGTGCATATCTTTGGGCACATGTGTTTTTAGAAAGTTGTCAGTAACTAAATTTAAAATTGAGTTGTGCATTTTATTTCGCTGGGAACTCTGCTCAAACATAGTGGGGTATTTAGTAAAGTGGGGAAGATGGGCACTAGGATTCACAAAGTCCAGTATCATGTTTCTATAAAATTATTCATCTTCATTTTAATCAATTCTAGGATAATGACCAGAAAGGGCTAGAGTTTAGGGATGGATATGTTTAGGAGTCTGTTGGCTTGACTTATAACTCTTAAATATTTAAATATATGGCATATGGACTTCCATTTTTACCTTTGCCCATGGCTCTGTAAATAGTAAGTGCAGAACCACTAAAGAAAGAAAGGCAAAGACATCTTAATGCCTAATTTGCAATACCCCCCCTCCCCCCATGAAATCATTCTAGGAAACACTTTGGACATGGGACATTAAGTTTCACAGTGACTTGAAAGAGATCTTCTATTCAGACCTAGGGATAAAACTAGGCCAAATTACATGCTAATTATACCTAGATTTTCTTTCTTTGAATTTTTTTCTTAGCTATTTTTATAAAGTGATGTTTTTTATTTTTAAAACTTATATTAGTATTGAAAAAGTCATTGTCTTAGTCCTTTTGGGCTGCTATAACAAAGTACCGCAGACTGGGTAGCTTATAAACAACAAATTTATTGTTCAGTGCTGGAGGCTGTGAAGTCCAAGATGAAAGGCTGCAGCATATTCACTGTGGTGAGACCCCCACCTTCCTGGTCCTTAGCCACATTCTCACTGTGTCCTGACACAGTGGAAGGGGTGAGAGTTGTGTAGGGACTCCTTTCTAACGGCACTAGTCTTGTTCGTGAGGGCTCCATCCTCGTGACCTAAGTACCTCCCAAGGGCCTCACCTTTGACTACTATCATCTGTGGGGTTTAGGATTTCAACATATGAATTAGGGAGGGGATACAAAATATTCAGACCATAGCAGTCACTAATCTCCCCTAATTTTGCCTATAGAAATCCGGCTGTTCAGGTCGGTCACAAGATTATGTCAAAGGTACCAACGGACAATTTTATGACAATGCATATTATTTTTTAACAATAAAAGGTACTCTTGTACATGCACCGGTTTACTGTAAAGACGGATTAATTTGGCACATTCTGGAGCACCATGGAGAAGAGGGCATACTCAGGAATCAGATTGCCTGAGTTTGAGTCCTAGCTCTGCCACTAACTAGCCTTACAAGCTGTATGATCTTGAGTACATTTCTTAACCTTCCTGTGCTGTCATCTCCTTCTCAGAAGAGTAAGGTGATAATTGTGTGTATCTGAAAACATTGTTACAAAGGCTAAATGAAGTGATATAGAGAGAGTTTAGAACAGTGTCTGGTGCATAGTCAGTATTTGGCAACAGCCTTTATTTTATGTAGAATTGTTGTAATTCTAGTTCAAAGGGTGAATTTAGTGCTTCACTTCCTTCCTTGCTGACAGCTGCAGGCATCCATGATCCAAGAAGATGCCACCGAGGACATTGAAGGTGACAACTCCAGCCCTTCCATGAGCACAGGTCAGAGGGCTTCTGCAGGTGGCCACGGGGCTCAGGATGACCATGAAGAAGAGGTATGTGGGATTCAACACCCAACAAAGATTTCCCAGTTTGTACAGATTCTAGATGTGGGATCTCACCAAGGGTGATGGTCAAATGTTTAACAGCCAGTAAGTAGGGCATGGGCACCAGCTCACCTGAAAGCACTTAGGCAGTAGATCTGGGAGGGTCAGGGAGACCCTGCTGGTGGCAGTCCTGTAGTTGCAAAGTCATGGGAAGTTGGGGTGGTCCCAAAGGAGGGGGGAGTGCATATAGGATCAGAACAACAGCTACTCACCAGCCAATCTAGGAGTGTTTTAATATTTTAACCCAGTTACTGCTGTATCTGTGAGTGTGGGGTGAATATCAGCCTTCAGATTTACTGACAGAGAAGGTCCTCAGTGCTAGTCGGTCCTCCTTTTTTTTTTTTTTTTTAAAGTATATTCATTTATTTTGAGAGCGAGCGAGCAAGTGTGAGTTGCAGGAGAAGGTCAGAGAAAGTGGAAGAGAGAGAATCCCAGGCAGGTTCCACGCTGTCAGTACAGAGGCTGAGGAGGGGCTCGATCCCACGAACTGTGAGATCATGATCTGAGCCGAAATCAAAGAGTCAGACGCTTAACCAACTGAGCTGCCCAGGCGCCCTGCTAGTGAGGCCTCCTTGACTCAGAATCGTACCCTTGGGAGTCAGCTATGTTTATTATGAGGTGCCCAGTCAGTACCCCTCACACCATGAGAGCAGAGCCCGAATCTAGCCCGACTGAAGAAGTAAAAGGCAGGCTGTTTATTCTCAGCCCGTCTCCCCAGCAGAAGCACGCCCAGCTGCTGTCCCCTCTTTGTTCTCCTGTCTCAACCCAACCCTGGCTCTGCTGAGACTTTGCTGACCTATCTTTGTAATGTTATCTGCCTCTCCTGTGAATTCAGGAATTGCTTTGTTCCCTCCTCCCTCCCTGAGCCTTTCTGTCCAAGAGCAGCCACTCCCCCTCAGGAATGTGCCACATTTTCCCAGCTGAAGGCAGGTGGCTGTTTTTATATTACCACCGAAGTATCCCATAAGCCTGAACGGGCTGGGGACTTTAACTGGAGCTCTGTTCTAATCCTGGAGTGGGGACGGGGTTCCTGTGAAGCCTGAGAGATGCTATAAGAAGTTCCATTTGTGGTGTTAATTACTTAAAAAAAAATTCATTTAAACTAATGGATAGTCAATTAGAAATAATGAAAAATCTGGATCAAGTTTTTCCGAGAAGATTCCAGGTACAGAAAGTAACCCATATTAGTGGCTATTAATATTACTAAGCCTGCCAGACCTGCGGGGATGTTTTAGAATCCAGCCCACACATCGTCTGACTCATCCAGTCCCAGCCCGTCCAGTACCACCTCTCTCGTCTGTTCTTCCCATGCCCTCAATATTTACCCTCTCGGTGTTCATCTTCTGCCTCTGCCATGTACTGGCTGCCCTTGTTTGGGCAACTTGAGGCTCCATTTGTAGGTCCCTTCCCCCAAGTACAATCATGTGTGGATCGTCCATTGCCAACCATATATACAGGCTTGGCTCTTTTGTCCCCTCAGGGTCCTCTCTGACCTCTGTCTACACCAGGTGTTGGCCAAACTCTGGGTCAAGGTCTGCAGACTGCCAAGTCTGCCCAAGACTTCCGACACTAGCCACAGGTTTGGGGGCCCCCAGGACCACCCTCTCTTCAGACCAGTCAGTTACAAATTCAGGGTCCCCTCAGATTCCCTCAGGGTTGGTGATTTATAGAACGACTTACAGAATTCAATGAAGTTTAACCCTTACTTACAGTTAGGCTTTTACTGTAGCTCAAATATACAGATCAGAAGCAGCCGGAGGAAGAGACGCGTAGACAGAACCTGACGCTGGAAGGGTTCCAAATTCCAGAATTCTGTGTCCTTAGAGAGACATTAGTCTCCCAGCCTCAACATGTGGCGGTGTGCACACAGCATTGCCAGCCCAGGAAGCTCACCGGAGCTCCAGCATCCAAAGCTCTATTGGGGTTTCATTATGTAGGCGTGCAACTCAGTGGTTGTGCTCACTCTCCAACTCCATCCTCTCCCTGGAGGCTGGGCTGGTAACACATGGCTCCAAGTCTCAACCCTCCAACCACAGGAACCGTCCGATGTGGTCCCAGGGGCTCACCGTGAAGAACATAGACAGTTCTTTCAGGTGGGAGACGTCAGGAGTTTAGAGGTTGCCTCCCTGGAGCCAGGACAAAGCCAGCCCTCTCCTTGGGTGGGGTTCGTTCTTCACCACTCATTCCTCCATTCCCTTGCCTCTCTCCCCTCTCTGCCCTTCCCTGCCCTTCACCTCCTCCCAGCTGTTTTCATTGCTGAGTCAGAGGCATTGACTCCTGTCTCCTCTCCAGAGCTCCTGACATGGTTGACCTCACCCTCCGTGCCTTCCTCGGTATTTCTCTATCCTTGGCCGCAGCCCTGTGACTCCTTCTGGGACTCTGACCTCTTCTTTCCATCATCCATGTCTTTCTTTCTCACCTCCACATGAACTTTTCCCAGGCTGGGAGCTCTGTGATCTTTCCCTCGTGTGTCTTCCTGGTCCCCTTACCTCCCACAGGTGAGTCCTAGGTGTTCACTTCCAGCCCGGACTGTTCTTCTGAACCTGTTCTTCCTCTGTCACTGTGTGATTCTACTTGTGTGGCCAGCTGTCACCGGAGACACAACACACCTGAACCTATCACTAATGTCCTTCTCCAATTTATCCATTTCTGTCAATGCCATTCTTTTAGCCCCTCGGACTCAAGACCCTCAGAGCCCTGTATGACCCTGGCCCCTGCTGGGTCAGAGGCCCTTTTTCTGCATTCCCACAGTACTGCTGAGTCTTGATTATTGCACTTTTCTTTTTTTTTTTCTTTTTTTTTTTTTTTTAGCTGTTGTAAGAAATTTATTTTTTTTTAATTTTTTTTATTTATATATGAAATTTATTGTCAAATTGGTTTCCATACAACACCCAGTGCTCATCCCAAAAGGTGCCCTCCTCAACACCCATCACCCACCCTCTCCTCCCTCCCACCCCCCACCAACCCTCAGTTTGCTCTCAGTTCTCAACAGTCTCTTATGCTTTGGCTCTCTCCCACTCTAACCTCTTTTTTTTTTTTTTCCTTCCCCTCCCCCATGGGTTCCTGTTAAGTTTCTCAGGATCCACATAAGAGTGAAACCATATGGTATCTGTCTTTCTCTGTATGGCTTATTTCACTTAGCATCACACTCTCCAGTTCCATCCACGTTGCTACAAAAGGCCATATTTCATTTTTTCTCATTGCCACGTAGTATTCCATAGTGTATATAAACCACAATTTCTTTATCCATTCATCAGTTGATGGACATTTAGGCTCTTTCCATAATTTGGCTATTGTTGAGAGTGCTGCTATGAACATTGGGGTACAAGTGCCCCTATGCATCAGTACTCCTGTGTCCCTTGGATAAATTCCTAGCAGTGCTATTGCTGGGTCATAGGGTAGGTCTATTTTTAATTTTCTGAGGAACCTCCACACTGCTTTCCAGAGCGGCTGCACCAATTTGCATTCCCACCAACAGTGCAAGAGGGTTCCCGTTTTTCCACATCCTCTCCAGCATCTATAGTCTCCTGATTTGTTCATTTTGGCCACTCTGACTGGCGTGAGGTGATACCTGAGTGTGGTTTTGATTTGTATTTCCCTCATAAGGAGCGACGCTGAACATCTTTTCATGTGCCTGTTGGCCATCCGGATGTCTTCTTTAGAGAAGTGTCTATTCATGTTTTCTGCCCATTTCTTCACTGGGTTATTTGCTTTTCGGGTGTGGAGTTTGGTGAGCTCTTTATGGATTTTGGATACTAGCCCTTTGTCCAATATGTCATTTGCAAATATCTTTTCCCATTCCGTTGGTTGCCTTTTCGTTTTGTTGGTTGTTTCCTTTGCTGTGCAGAAGCTTTTTATCTTCATAAGGTCCCAGTAATTCACTTTTGCTTTTAATTCCCTTGCCTTTGGGGATGTGTCGAGTAAGAGATTGCTACGGCTGAGGTCAGAGAGGTCTTTTCCTGCTTTCTCCTCTAGGGTTTTGATGGTTTCCTGTCTCACATTCAGGTCCTTGATCCATTTTGAGTTTATTTTTGTGAATGGTGTGAGAAAGTGGTCTAGTTTCAACCTTCTGCATGTTGCTGTCCAGTTCTCCCAGCACCATTTGTTAAAGAGACTGTCTTTTTTCCATTGGATGTTCTTTCCTGCTTTGTCAAAGATGAGTTGGCCATACATTTGTGGGTCTAGTTCTGGGGTTTCTATTCTATTCCATTGGTCTATGTGTCTGTTTTTGTGCCAGATTATTGCACTTTTCCATGCACCCTGTCCCCACCACGCTGCGAGCCACCCGAGGACCAGGATGGTGCCAGTCACACCTTTCCCCCGACAGCATCAGAGTGCGTGAAGGGAACAGCATGCTCTTGCTGTGTGTGTGCTGTTTCTTCCCCTTCATCTCTAGATTAGTGAGCTAGTCAACAAACAGGCTTTTTTGCTTATAAGGCTCTGCCTTTGCTAGTCCATTTTGTCACCAGATTAATCATCCCCCCAAGACTTCTTTATTCCCCCTCCCCACCCCGGCCACTTTTCATTCAGATGCTGTTTATGGTTGCTCATTGACTCCAACTTATTTTCCCAACTCTGTTCTTTACTGAAACTTCAGCACCTGAGGGCTCCTTTCTAGTCCTCACCAATCAAGCACCTACTTCCAGCCAAATTGTTTCCTGCCCAGAACTTGCCTTCCTGATGTTCCCAAGCACCCACCTTTTCCTCACCGGGAGTCATTTTCTTCACCAGGAATGATCTTGCTTATCTTTTACTTCCAGATGCGTCCCCAGCCTTCCCGGCCCAGCACAGACCTCACCTCCTGTGACACCTTACCGACCGGTCTCTCTTCTTCTTTAAATTTCTTTCAGCTACTTCTGGGAAATGTTCCTGCACACACACTGTACCCTACTTTGCGCTGCTAACTCTCTCTCTACGAGCATATTAATATTTGTTTTCCCCTAGTTCGACTGGAAGTGCCTTAAGAGCGGAGCACATGTTTTATTCATCGGTGTATCATTAGTAAGACCTTTCATGGAGGAAATACTTAATGAAATAGAATAAAAAATTCTCTCTTTCAGTTCAACTTTGGAGACATCTTTGTGCATCAAGCCATCCACACGATCGAGTACTGCCTGGGCTGCATTTCAAACACAGCCTCTTACCTCCGGCTCTGGGCCCTCAGCCTGGCTCATGCACGTGAGTGAGCTGCCCTCGGGGTCACGATCAGATCTCCCCTGGGAAACAGAAGCAAAGCGCTTGTTTGGAGAAGTGCCTTCTCTGGGTTATTTACGGCATGTTTGCCCAAAGAATTGTTGGTTTTTCTTAGGAAGAAGTGACTTTTTCTGTAGGTCTGACTTTATGTTACTGGAGTAGTTAGCCTCTGTGTCAGTTTCCTGTTGCTGCTATAACAAATTGCCCCCGTTTAGCAGCTCAAAACAAATGCAGATATACTGTCTTAGAGTTCTGGAGTTGTAGAACCAAGATGTCAGCAGGGCTGGGTTCTTTCTAGAAGCTCTAGGGGGGAATCCATTTCCCTGCCATTTCTATTTTTAGAGGCCGCCTGCATTTCTTGGCTCTTGGGCTCATCAGTCTGATTCCTGCTTCATTCATCATGTCCCTATTTTCTCTCGCTCTGACTCCTTTGGTTTCTTCTTCTAAGGACTATGTGGTTACCTTGGGCCTACCTGGATAATCCAGGATGATCTCCTTATCTCAGCACCCCTTCACTTTAATCCTGTCTGCTTAATCCATTCCTTTTTTTTTTTTTTTAAGTTTATTTATTTATTTAGAGAGAGAAAGAGAGGGCACATAAGAGCATGAGTTGAGGTGGGGGGCAGAGAGAGAGGGGGAGAGAGGATCCCAAGCAGTCTCCACGCTGTCAGTGCAGAGCCCAACTTGGGGCTCGAACTCATGAACTGTCAGATCGTGACCTGAGCCGAAATCAAGAGTCAGGTGCTTACCTGGCTGAGCCATCCAAGTGCCCCTGCTTAATCCATTCTTAATCCCTTTTTGCCATATAGCTTTTTCTTAAGATTAGAACATGGCCATCTTTGGGGGGTTCACTTTGAGAGAAGGCCTGCCTTGATTGTGAGCATTGGTGGGAAATAGGCCAGTTGGCTGACCCTTGACCTGCACCCCCCCCCCCCACCAGCGGTACTCACCACCTCACAGGGTCATGCTAAGCCCAATTTTGGTCATGATTCCATCCCCAGGGGTTACTTAAGTCTGGAATCCTAACTCATCAAGTTACTTTGTAAGATCCTTCTTGATCCCTGCCTGATTTTCCAGTCTCGTCCCTTGGTATTGCCCTTAATGCCCCACCAGCCCCTGGTACCCACCCATTTCATAGGCAGTGGCCACCAGGACCTGCACTGAGGCTCCTGAGGCTGCCACGAGCTCTGGGCCTCTCTGTGTTGGCCCTGCAGCCCCCTTTCCTGAAATCTTCCTTTCTTCCTTAGCTTTCTCCTCACTTGATTTCTAATTCCTCCTTCAGAGCTCATGCAAATGGCACCTCTCCTGGGAATCTTCCTCCCTGATCCCCAGTCTGGCAGGTGCCCTTTCCCTGGGTTCTGGGAGTGCCCCCTCCTAACACTGATTGCAGTTCAGTCCTGATTGGCCTGTGTCCATACTGGACTGTGAGCTCCTGAAAGGCATTGACCCTGATTTCCACCCCTGCATTCCCAGCCCTGAGCACAATGTGTGAGAGATCAGGCCAAAGTGTGTGCTAGATGGGTAGAAACCAAAGCAAGGAAAGTGAGCCTGCTTCTTGATTTTTAGCAGAAATGCAAGTACTCACTGTTAGCCTTCGCGGCTTGGGCTGTGTTCATTTCCTTACATCAACTCCCACACATACACTTTACTTGTGTGCACACAGGTGTTTGGATGCATACATCCACAAGCACCTGCCTGTGTTTGCTTGTGCATTGACATGCACTCATGTGAGGTGGTTTCCCAGGGCCCTGAAGTGGATCTCTGAGCTTCGTGTGGTCAAGTGGTGTTTAATGTCAGCCTTTAGCTCTGATCCCAGTTGTGGTTTGGAAGCGTCATGTCACAAGAGGGCTGAGACCAGATGGGACAGGAGGGTGCTCTCTGACCAGTCCATGCCCATCGAAGATGCAATTTGACATCAGAAAATCCATATGGCTTATAGCTGCCCGGAACGGTCTACCCATTGGATCTTTCTAGAACTTCCTGAGACATATAGTTCCCACGGAATATCTTCAACTCATGCTAACAAACTTGCTTGAAGAGGTGGTTTGGCAGAAAACAGATGCTGATTTAAGTCCTAGTTTCTCTTCTGCCACTTTTAGCTCAGTAACTCAGGCAAGCAGGCTAACCTGTGTGTGCCTTGGCTTTCCTGTGTGGTTCCGGTAGTGAGCCTGCTGTGTTAGTCAACCAAGGCTAGAACGTGTTGCAGTCACTACCAGCCCCGGATCTCAGCAGCTTAAACAATGGAAATGTACTTACTCTATCACATCTGTTCATCAGTGCCGTTCTGAGACCTAAGTTGAGGGAGGCTGTATTTGGATACATGCTTCAAAAATCACCCAGATGGGGGTACAAGGAGGAGGTGAGAGTGAAACACTGGAAATTAACACACTTTCCCATTGTGTTACTCCAGCAGAAAGCCAGGGCTGGGGGACAGGGCACAGCATGGGTGCAGATACTCCCCCTTGTGCCCTCACATGTCTCTCTTCTCATCGTGTCCAAATATCCACTTGCAAGTGACAGGTCTTTATCTCTCTGGGCCCTGCCACTTTGACCTTTTGGCTGGGTGACTTCCAGTCTCAACCCAACAATGTAATGGTAGTATCTCCCCGAAAGGGAGAGTGTGAGCAAGCTCTCTGGGGTCTCTTCTTATAAAGGCACTAATTCCATCATGAGGGCCCCACCTTTATGACCTCATCAACCCTTAATCACCTCCCAAAGGCCCCTTCTCCAAATACCCTCACTGTGGTGGGTAGGGATTCAACATAGGAATTGGAGGGTGGGCGGGACACAAACATGCAGTCCATATCAAATCACATTCTACGCATTCTGTTGTGTTTCGCTTCTCTGGTGTAACATTTTGTTGCTCAGATTTATTCATGTTGCTGCTGGTAACTGTAGTTTGCTCACTTTCGCTGGTGAATACTGTGCCTCCGTATGTTTGTTGTCATGACAGAAACTCCTCTATTGTGAGCACTGCCCTAGACAGTCTCATACAGGTGCCCCAGGGCACATGTGCCTGAGTTTTCTACCTGAAGAGCACAGTGTTGGGATTCTAGGGTGTGCAGACCCAGGTATATGGCATGAAAAAACCCTGCACTTGCCACATAAACTCTGTGGTTGAGAAGGTTTCTCTTGCTCTTACAGAATTGTCTGAAGTGCTCTGGACCATGGTGATGAACATTGGCCTTCGCGTGCGAGGCTGGGGAGGACTCATTGGAGTCTTTATCATTTTTGCCATATTTGCTGTTTTGACGGTAGCCATCCTTCTGATCATGGAGGGTCTCTCTGCGTTCCTGCACGCCCTGCGACTACACTGGTGAGCGTGGCTGCACTGGGGAGGCTCTGTGTGCTCTAGAGAGAGATGATGGGCCATAGGACCAGCCAGCTGAGGTCACATCCTGACCCAGTTTGAGTCCCCTGTTGGCTTAATATTACATGATGAGGTGTGTGTATGTGTGTGCCTGTGTGTATGTGTATACACATATGATGGCTGCCCTAGGATTAATGTTAGTTCCCATTTACTCATTCTCTTTTATTTTTATTATTACTTTTTAAATGTTTATTTATTTTTGAGAGAGAGAGAGAGTAGAGGAGGGGCAGAGAGAGAGAGAGGGATAGAGGGTCCAAAGCAGGCTCTGCGCTGACAGCAGAGAGCCCGATTCAAACTCACGAACTGTGGGATCATGACTAGAGCCAAAGTTAGATGCTTAACTGACTGAGCCACCCAGGCGCCCCTTACTTGTTCTCTTCTAAGAGTTCATTTATTATATCACAACTAGCTTCAAGATAAGGAACACTTCAAGTATTGGTAAGATGACAGATCTGAGATAGTCTCACAGCGGCATACTTAGTGAATCTGGGACATTAGGCCCTTGGTGCTGAGTGCAGGAACTATACCAGAAATACAGGCTACTAACCTCTACAAAGTGGGAACAGAAGAAGGGTACCTGGAAGGAGGAAGGCACTCACAGGAGGCCCTTGACATCCGCAGATGTGTCCAGAGACTATGAGCCCTCACTAGGCTTACAAATATGAAAACATTTGTTGAAGCTCCTGTTTTTCTAACAAGTCATAGGTTGTCCAAGAATTTTGAGTGTGTGCTCATACCCTTAAACCACAGAGACTGTCTTTAGCTCTCACCGATGCTTTCTACCTCCTTCTGTGCACGCTGTTCATAAAGAAAAGTTTTTACATACTCCGTGTATGGAGTGGAGGGAATCACAGCGCCCCTGCCTCAGGTTATGACATCGGCTCTCCCCACGTCCTTAAGGAAATGAACCCTGTAACATAATCAAGCGTGAATGATCATGCGTGATGTCTGCGATGTAAGTTACGAGAACGTTAAGTCAGGGTCCTGGGTATTGTGAAATAGCGTAAGTCCCATGGTTAAGATGAGGATGGAGAAGAAAAACCACGTGGAACCTCGTGAAACATTCTCTCATCACTAGCTCGTGAGATAAGACTTCACAGCGAACGCTTCCCTGCTTGTGGGAGCCGGGGGGAGGGTGGCTCTGCCGTGGTCTGAGAGGCTGGTGGCAGGGGCCTGGAGGAAGTGGGGTGGGATAGGAAAGGAAAAGTGTGACCGGGAGGCAAGAGAAGGATTTTTATAAGCCTCAGAGGATCCCTGTAGTGGCCACCAACCTGAGTGTCTTCCCTGGCCCACCTTCCTGACCCTGTGCTTGATTTTACAAATGCCCGCTTCTTCCCTTCCCGGCCAGCCTCTAGCTTACATGTTTTTATCTCGCCTTTTTTTTTTTTTGGTTTTGCCCTCCCCCATCCCCCAAGGGTGGAGTTCCAGAACAAGTTCTATGTCGGGGCCGGTTACAAGTTTTCTCCTTTCTCCTTTAAATACATCCTGGAAGGGACATCGGAGGAATAGCGGCAGGTCCCGTGGCTGCCGCATGTTCTGCCTCAGTCTCTGTGCCTGTGAAAGAAGTTCAGCTTTGTCTTCGATGTCAGCCTGTGCTAGGCGGTCAATGGATGATTGTTCTTAGCTACCTGGAGACAGGAAGCCGTGTATATTTTACTTATAAGCCTTGGAATTTGATACGACTTAACCATGTCACAGAGGAACCGACCTCATGTGGGGTCGTCATTGTCAAAAACTGAAATGACTGAGAAACGGGGAGCGCTACACTGATGTTTTCCTGCAATATTGTGAGTATTATATGCAAGAAAATAAACTTCTGGGCCATTTCCTTGTTCTTTAAGATGTCTTTGTCCAAAATTATTCTGTAGTATTTAGTATTGATAGTTACAGGCCAAAGCGAAACAATAGAGTTACACAAACTAATTTAAGAGGATTATGTTTATTTTATTCTTTCACTTCCTGGTTCCTCAGACATGTTTTTTCCTTGGCTGGGGCTAAGCTTTATAAGATTAGGAACTTTCTCATGAATCTCCACTCCAGGTGGGAAAGAAAGGGTAATGTTCCCTGGACAGAGGGCTGGCCCCATGTGGCTCTATGTGTTGTTAAGCCCTGTGGAATGAAGTGTGGCAACATATCATCAGCGACTGTTTGCTGGATGCACATTGTGCTGCAGGAACTGGAGAAAGAGATTTGAAGACTCGAGAAAGTTCTGGAAAACAGCCTGCCAGACAGGAGTCTGCCAGACACGTCTTCCCTGATACTCTCTGGGTCTGTCAGCCCTGAAGTCATTTCTAAGCCTCCTGGATTGTCAAACTCTTAAGAGCCAGTTTTGTAGAGTAAAATATGTGTCATCAACTATTTAGATAACTATTTAGTTATCCAGGTTAATCATAATCTTCAAGGTAACTAGACCAGTGGAATTAAGCATTGTTACCATTGGTACAGTGCTTTACAGTTTACAAGGCACCTTTAAAAAAACATGGTTTTAATGTTTATTTATTTTTGAGAAAGAGAGAGAGAGAGGAAGGGGCAGAGAAAGAAACACACACAGAATCTGAAGCAGGCTCCAGGCTCTGAGCCGTCAGCACAGAGCAGGATGTGAGGCTTGAACTCATAAATTGTGAGATCGTGGCCTGAGACAAGTCAGACGCTTAACCAACTGAACCATCTAGGCGCCCCTCATTTTTTTTTTAAGTAAACTCTACCTCCAATGTGAGACTTACACTCACAACCCCAAGATCCAGAGTCGCATGCTCTTGTGACTGAGCCAGCCAGGCGCCTCAAGGCACTTTCTACATAGCATCTAGTTCTTAAGATTTCAGAGTATTTGACCAAATCCAAAATTGCCTTTTGGACATATCTCTGGGTTCTTCAGCTCCCTCCTGCCCTGCTTGGTAGCGGGGTTGATGGGTGCGCATGGAAGTGTCATGGCTCAGACCCGAGGAAGGTTCCATATCACCTTCTGTATCAGTGTCATGACTTGTCTAGCACAACTTAAGGCACAATTAGCTGCTCGAAAATTTTCAGAGATTAAAGCAGTTTGAGCCTAAGAATGATAGTTGACATCTTTGACTTCCAATTCTGATACTTTATCTTGTGTGTCCCCAGGCAGGAGACCAAGTTGTTCTGCTCACTGCCAAAATGGGGGATTAGTGATCTCCATTCTCTGGGTTGTGGAAAGGAAGTGTAAAGCATGGGGCATGGACCTGCTACTTATCCGGTAACATTGCCTGAAGGAAAGAACAGACAAAAGCCATATGTAAATGTTAGTTTAAATCCATAAAAGCCAAGGTCACTGGATAATTTCAAGTTTCTCAGGACATCACTGCCCTTCTCAACAACTATCTAAAAATATGCTACGTGTACATGGATCACCAGGCTTTGCCTCTTTACTTCTAAGCAGTGATGGCTGTGAGAAAAGGTTTGAAAGGACAAAGCTTCCTTCTGCCCCTCACCTAGAGCCCTGGTTTTCCAGAAGTTCCCATGGCCTCCCTGAAAACTGTTATTTTCCTCCAAGATTTGGCAGCCTTCTTTAATCTCAATGAGAGACGTAATTTCCCCTTTAAAAAAGGATTGGGTGAAGGGCTACAGAAAAGGGGGTGTAACCTGGATGTCACTCACTTGCCCACACCACAAGGTTGCTCCTTAAAGAATTCCACTCACAGAACTGAGCCAAAAGAGGAGGAGAAGACGAGGGGGCCGGGCTTCTTAGGCAGGTAAGTCCAGAAGCCCCTCCTGGGGCCACCAACGGTCTAACTGCTGTGTGACACTTGGCTGTGTTAAGAGTGAGCGAAAGAGCCTGAAACTGGAAAGCTTTCCAAGGACTATACAGAGGTAAGAAACTCCGACGGGCAGCATAGATCTGGATGTACTTTTCCTGCTTTGGAGTGGGGGTTGGGGAGGTAGGAGTTTGACCATTTGTACTTGACTGAAGGCACATGGAATATGAAAAGTTCCCTCTTCATACTGATGATATTGCAAAATCAATTACATCATACACACATACAAGCACGTTCAGTTTTAAAAAGCTCTAACATGGCTCAATTATTTCTGGCTAAAAAATTCAGTATAGCAAAATGCAATGGAATAAAAAGTCCATCAGTGCCCTGGAATTTATTTTAATGAAGCTTGAATGCCACGTGAGCCTTTTGAATTTCAGAGTAGACCCTCAGCGTGTCAGTTCTTACTGATATTTTGTTTGTTTATTTATTTATTTAAAGGTTTTATTTTTTAAGTAAAATAAAGCCCCAACATGGGGCTCAACATCACAACCCTGAGATCAAGAGTTGTAAGCTCCTAGAGTGAGCCAGGCAGGCACCCCTTTTACAGATTTCTTGAAGCTAGGTCATGGGTTACTTTCCCATTGTAGTTTTTAAGGAGCTGATGGTAAGGGGTGGGAAACATTCTTCACCATGTTATTCCTTCTCTTCTTGAGTTGGTCCAACTGATTATCCCTCCTCTTCCTAGGTTAGAATGGATTCAGAATGATTTAGGGAAACAATAGAAGATGCCAACTCAGCTTTTCCAACACTCCATTTCAGACTCGAGATTACAAGTTCTATCTGTAATGTACCTCATATCTATCTCTATGGAACATTCTGTCCCCTTTTTTATGAAAACTTTTCCTTATGAAACTTGGCTGAAACCCTAGAGAATACAAGGAGAATATCTGTGATCTATTAAATTTGAGTTAATGTTGGGTGTCCTCTTAATAACATGTACTGTAAGCCCATTTATAGCATGCAGATGTGAATGCCCAAATCCTCATAATCTGTCTATACCACTGAACTCCCCTCCCCACCACCCAACATGGCACCCAACACCCAAATAGTCAATCTATTTCAGAAAACAAGTAATTTCTTTTCCCATTTGGGTGGTTTTTCATCTGAGGCCAAGGTGTTTTAATGTTAGTGGAATATTAAGCAGTAAATGCTTTTGCACACATTTGATAACTCTGAAAGTACTTAAGAACTTATGCTGTGTGTATTTGATTTGTGATTATGGAGAAATTTTAGACATTTAGTTGATACCCTTATTCAGGGATAAGAAATAGTACTCCCATGGGTGCTTAGGTTGCAGCGGGCACTGTGCCATATTATACAAACCTCATCACATCTGATCCTTGTAACAAACTGAAGAGGAAGCTTCTCAGTTAAGAATTATACACAACTGGCTGGGCTGGTCTGAGTGCAGTGGTGTTTACCATCCGTTGATCACGGCCATCTACATATTTCTTTGTTGCTTCTTCCCTCCCACTGCTACACTCAGCTCGCCTAAAAATAAAATAATTGCACACAACTTCAAGGAACAGAGACTAGAAATAACAGTGTCTTCAACAGAGAGCGCTTAATTTTTTTCCCATGTAGATGTCTGGAGGTAAGTGGTCCACAGCCGTAGGAGAGGTTTCCAGGCTCTTTCTAGCTTATGCTCTGCCAGACTTGGCCTGAAGTTTCCATATTTCCATCTTCACGTTTGCATCATGACCCAAGATGCCTGATGAAGCATCAGCCATCATGCAGGGGGGAGGGGCAGAAGGGCCTTCATCTGCCTCTCAGTGACCACTTTCTTCAGCGAGGTGCAAGGGAGGACCTTACTGGGAAGACAGCCAGCTACTTCTCCCACAGGTAGCTGGCTATTATTTCCATTTTCAGAGAAGGAAACTGAGGAAGAAGAAACAGAATCCATTCAATCTCAGTCTCACCGTGGCTACTGATTGCCTTCTTTTTCCTCCCTCCCTTTCTCCCTCCTTTCCTCCTCTAATTCTTCTTCCCTTCTTCCTTCCCTCCTCCTTCCTTCTTTCTGTCCTTTCTTCCTTCTTATGTTAATTTAGTAGGTATAAAATGATACCTAAGGATTTTTTTGTGACTGCCATTTTGTCAGTTACTACAGAAGGTGAACAACTTTCCAGTTTTGCCTCCAGCTTTTATATATTCTTGTGAATTGCTTGTTCGTATAATTTGCCCATCAATCTATTAGAATCTAATGTTTTTCTTGTAATTTATGGTTTATATGTACTACCGACATTTATTTGTTGAGTGCATAGACGTGCATGCACACACATGCACACACACACATTTGCAATTGGCTTTTCTTATTTTAATTTTTGAAATTGTGGTAAAATATCTATAACATAACACTGACCATTATGCCAATTTTAAAGTGACCCATTCAGTGGCATTTAGTTGTATAATTTACAATGTTGTGCAAACATCGCTACCATGAAAGAGGGCTTCCTGTGCCAGGCCACCTTGGGCACTTCCAGCCAGTTAGTGATTTGATCATGTCTGGGTCAAGTGCCTACTGCTGACCCGATAGGTCATGGCCGGTGATGGGGGGCAGTGGGGGCAGTGGTAAGGCCTGCCTAGGACAGTGGCCTAGTGAACACCGGAAGCAAGACGTCAACTATACATTGGTTCGCTTTTGCAGAAAGAATTTTTGTGGTACAAGAACTAGCCTTTCTAAGAATTCAAACAAATGAGATAAGCATAAAGAAGGAAGAATGGGGAAAAAACCCTAACTTCTCCCTGCCCTAGGTAATTCTTTTCTTACCCTTGTCCTCATGGCTGGCTCCTGCTTCTCCTTCAGGCCTCCACTTAGAATTGCTTGCAGAAGCCTCCCCAGGTCTGAGGACTCGTTAAGCACGGGCCCCCCTTTGTGTGCCAGAGCAACCTCCACTTAACCCTGGGACCCACTTTTCCTGCCTGAATCTGTCCCTTTGTTCGCCAGAGACCCTTTCATTATATTCTATGGTCTAGTACATAGTAGTACTCCACAAATACTTACTGAAAGACAAAAAGTTTCAGACAACATCTCTCCTGAAATCTCCATGCAGGTACCTAT